CAGTGATCTAGGGATTAGTACTCCTTACCTATTTTCCGGTGCGCACACAATGATCAATCAGACTATGCAAGCGAATGGCAACTCGACTTCCACGCCAATATCTATTGGCTCTTCGAGTGCTTCGACTATACCCTTTAGCAGCAGCCTCGCGTCATACTCTAATCTTAACCGAGGATTAATTAATTCTGGCATCATTTCATCCTCAACAGCTGCTAAGATTGCCTACGCTACTCAAAATATTACGCCAAATTCCACGGGTCACCTTTTTACAGCTACGCCTACTCCTGCAGGTTTCTTTACAACCACCCCTGTTAACCCCGAAGTGTTGGCAGAGACAAAGCCGAAAAAACGCAAGATTGTCGATTCGGAAAATAATGGTGAATTGCAAGATGGCGAACCGGAAAAACGTCGGAAACCGGGAAAACGTAGATCGAAGAAGGCTCAACAGGTTGTACCTCAACCCGAAATAGTGGAACCATCCCCGGAACGTGCTCCAATCCCTCAACCCGTTTGCGCAGTTTGCAGGCTGATCGAGCCGCCGCCTACCGATCGTCCTTCAGCTACATATATATACCCTTCCAAAGCCAGAGAGTCTATGTTGCTTAAAGGAAGAGATAAGGTGCATCGCATGATCCGATGCAATTTCTGTACCAAATGGTATCATTTGGCATGTATGAATCCACCAAGACGAACAATGCCGACTGGGTGCGTATATTTGATTCGTATTTGACCTCAGTTTTGTATTTGATTTTCTTCTTTCTTTCCTAACAAAAGCATCATTCTTGTTTGTCACAGTGGATATGTTTGGAGATGCGAAGAATGTGATCCTGGAGATTCGTCAGATCCTCTCGCACAACTTACTAAATCCAAAGATTCACCTGCTCCTGATGATAATAATCAATCTCAAACTGAATCCTCAGCCTCTGCTCAACGTTCTGAAAAATCTCAACCAGGAACGTCAACCCGCAAATGGAGGTTGAGGTCGTCTACACGAACTTAAAGTTTATGAATGAGGTTTGCATACGCAGCTCATACTATTCGGCAATTAAACAAAATTTTTAAATAATAACATTTTTCAGCCTTAAACATCTGAAATTAACAATGTTATTTTGAACGTGAAATTTTTACTTGTCAAATTTAATCGGAGCAAATCTAATTCGAAAATAATAAACTTTATAGAACTGTCTTTAAGGTGCTTAATCAAGACGTAAACATTCTGATTACATCCACACGTCCCAAGTTACCGGTTTTATTAAGGAATCTAAGATGTCAGTTAACAAAATTCGACTGGGGATTTGTTGAGATTGGCTGGTACAGAATTTTTTATCTTGCTTAAATCC